ATACCTCAAACTAGGAGAAAATCCTTTTAGGTTCTACGTTGAAAATATACCACAATCTGTCCGCTGATTTCCCATTTCTATTGCTGCCATCTTGGTCCAGGACTTTCCCATCTCTTCCATGGACGATTGTTCCTGACCAATTTCTTTGTCTGTCTGCTTCTTGCTCCACTCTGTTTTTTAACCATAGAAATCACTTTTTAAAAGTGAATGTGACCATGTCATAGCCTCCTGACTCCCTGCCATCAAATGCACATTCATACCCACTAAACAGCTTTTCATGCTTTTTCCATTGCACACTCAAAGCATTGGTCTGCAGTAAGGCAGAGTTTACATTAGGACATAAATGGAAATCAATGCACTCCTTTTTTTTTTCATTGAGACTGTCCTGTGTGTGTGTGATATGTATGTGTGTGTGCAGATTCAGCTAAAAGTGTTCAAGGTAACATAGTTGATTTATGTCTGCGCAGGCTCCTTTTCTCATTACAGACAGGAAGTCAACAGGTTGCAGACCAGCAGCCCAGGTTCAGACCACAGGTTAAGCAGCACTGGCTTCACAACTCCAAATGATGAGACCCTGTCTATCTGTCAAACTTCATTTTGAGCCCACTCTCCTTTGCTTCCTCTGTCTCAACCACAATGGACTTCTTTTGATTCCTAGAAATAACTATGCTGCAATAGAGACATAACCACCTTAGCCTCCGCCTGCCCTAAAGACTTCACACTTATTCTGCCCTTAGCTGAGAATACCTTGTCTTGTCCTGATTTCTTATTCAAAAGACACTTCCTCATATCCTCCTTCCCTGACCACTTATGCAGAGCTTGCTCTTTATTCTCCAGCACCATTTGGTCTCAAGCTTGATATCATCTTTTCAATCTGTGAGTACATATTTATGTATGTGTTTACTTGCTGATTGTCTGGTGTTCTTTACTAGAATGGAGGTTTCGTGGGGCAGACACCCCCTCCCCTGCACGCGCACACACACACACACACACACACACACACACACACACACTGGTTTATCTGATTTCACTGATCAGAGAACACTGCTTTGGGCACAGTAGACATTTCAAGTGTGTTATGGTGGGTGGAAGTTTAGAGAAACAAGGGCTCACCATGCCAGTGCTCTAAGATATTAATCAACTTTTTCAAGATTGGCCAGGATCATTTGTAAAATCTAAGAACTGGACTCTTAGATTAAGGTTGCCCAATCTATAAAGTCACACTGCCTCTCATTTTATAGTAGCAATAAGTCTCAGCCACTTTTAGGTTAGGCAATTTACAAAGGAGAAATAAGAATTACTTCATGTGAGTAAACAATTCATTACCCTTGCATAGGATTTTCTCAGCCTGAATCATTGCAACGTTCTCACGTACCTTTGCATCATTGTAATTCTCCTTAGAGATTCCACCATAGAATAGCTAAAATGTATAAATAGCCAGTTATGGGCCAAACACCAGAGTGCCTTCAGCAAACAAGACTAACCAAACCCCACTTTCACAGAACTTGTGGTTCATTGAGAAAAACAGTTAACCAAGTAATAGATAATAAACAATGAACAAGAAGAGTACAGGCTACAGGAGCACACTGTATGACACTTCTTAGGGGTCACAGAAGATTGGCACCTGAGGATGAATAAGAGATAACAAAGAGAGCAAAACAGTGATCCAGGAGACCAGCAGATGGTGTAATGGTTACATTGCTACACTCCCACATAGTCAGCCATGGTTTGAGTCCCAGACCTGGCAGCTTAAAATTCATTCTGGGCACATGTGCGTGCATGCCCCAAATCCCAAGAGGAGCATAAAGGAGAAGGGATTGTAGTATGGCCATCCTCCCAGGGAGGAGGTGAGTTCTCATTTCTGTCTCTCTGGCAGGTGCTCCTGCCCTATAGCAAAAATCTCTCTTAAAAAAAAAAGAAGAGGGAACCAGCAGTTAGCGTAATGGCTATGTCGCTGGACTCCCATGTAGTCGACCACGGTTCGTGTCCTGGACCCGGTGGCTTAAAACTCACGCCGGGCGCGTGTGCGTGCATGCCCAAGATCCCGAGAGGAGAGTGGAGGAGAAGGGATTGCGGCGTGACCATCCCCCCTGGGGGGTGATTTCTCGCTTTCTGTCTCTATGTCTCTCTCTGTCTGTCTGGCGAGCGCACGCGCCCTACAGTGAAAATTTCTCAAAAAAAAAAAAAAAAAAAAGAAGATAGGAAACTGGTAAAAGAGGCATAGAATAAGTGAGTTCCAAAAATTATAGCATCTAAACAAATATGGTGGGATAAGAATACAAAATAAGGGGAAGAGAAAGACAACGAGAAAGGCTGTGGGATAGTTAGAGGCCAGATCTTCTGCAGCATAGCCAGGAATTTGGACTTTGTCTTTTTTTAAGACAAATTATTTATTTAATTTGTTATTTATTTATTTAACATTTTCTATAGGGCATCTGCACTCACCAGAGAAGACAGAGAGAGAGAGAGATACAAGCCACCAGGTCTCAGACTTGAACCATAGTCGGCCATGTGGGAGTCCAGCACCTTAACCATCATGTCACCTGCTGGCCTTTGTCTTTTTAAGCTCGGATATAACATGCCCCATCTTCTATCCCCTAATCCCATACCTGTAAATTATAACAGTAGCACTTGCTACGTGCTAGTTTATTATGAGAAGTCCATTAAATAACACAAAGCAGTGAATGAATGAATGAAAGAAAGAAAGAAAGAAAGATATAGAAAGAAAATCTGAGACAATGTTAACATTAGACGGAAATTTCCAGAAGAAAGAAAATTTCATCAGTGTACTATATGACTCTGCTATGAGCCTCACTGAATGTGATATACTAAAAAGGATTGGAACCAGCAGATGGCATAATGGCTACGTCACTGGACTCCCATGTAGTCAACCACAGTTCGAGTACCGGACCTGGTGGCTTAAACTCATGCCAGGCGTGTGTGCATGTGTGCCCAAGATCCCGAGAGGAGAATGGAGGAGAAGGGATTGCGGCGTGACCATCCCCCCGGGGGGTGATTTCTCACTTTGTGTCTCTCTGTCTCTCTCTGTCTTTCTGGCAAGCCCACACACCCTATAGCAAAAACCTCTCCAAACAAAACAAAACAAAACAACAAAATAAAAAGGATTTGATTAAATATATTATATAGCTCTATTTGAAAGATCTGTGGACAATCACTAGATAATACCTAAAATTAAAAAATCAAGAAATGTTTGTGGAAAACATTACTTAGAAATAGGAAAGTATGTACCAGAATAAATTATTGAAAGTGATTACTTGGAAGGCAAAAAGTAGAAAAGGGAGACTGGATGCCTTAAGGTGGAGCTGCAGACTGTTTTTATTTTATTATAATTCTTGTCTGTGTATTACTATTTTATTAATTTGTTATTATAAGCCATGCCTATAGGGACTTCTTCTTCTTTTTTTTATTTTTTTTTAACAGAACTGTAACTTAAACAGTTACATCTGGGCACACATACCCAAAAAGGAATAGACGAAGGCAGCCATGGTGCCCCCTACTGGCCTTCTCACAGATGGTTCTAGCGATGGGTCCTATAACCCTGTCCAGACCTGCCTCAGTTCCTGGACCATTCATGATGGCTGTTGGAAAACAGCTGCCTCACTCTTCTATTTTTCTGAGATGCCATGAATTGAGCTGCCAGCTAACCTTTGGATTTACAGTACAGAAGTCTCCCTTTATCTGTGGGGGAATACATTCCCAGATCCCTAGCAGATGACTGAAACCAGAGGTAGTACTGAACCCTGTTTACACTGCTATATATATAATATATATACAAAATATATATATATATATATATATGCCCAAGATAAAGTTTAATTTATAAATTAGGCACAGTTAGAGATTAACAATAATAAGTAAGACAATTAGACCAATATGTCAGCATCACTACTCTTGCGTGACAGGTCCATTAGTAAGTAAAATGCCGCAGTGCACATGACTATGACACCTGATCTGATAACCAAGACAGCCACTAAATGACTAATGGATGGGTAATATGGAGACACTGGACAAACGATGATTCATATCCCGGCAGGACAAAGCAGGAGGTTGTGAAATTTCATCACACTACTCAGAACAGGGCACGACGTAAAACTTAGGAATAATTTCTTTCTGGGATTTTCCATTTCATATTTTCAGACCATGGTTGACTATGGGTAACTGAAACCTTAGCTCAGATGTAGGTGAGGGGGCACAGCCCATACTAATCTGCTTAGATTTTAAATTGACTCCATCTAATGAAACCCTGAACACAGATCATATCCCCCATGAAGTAAATTATTAATAGTTGTGAGTTCCAGAGAAGTTAGATTTTTCAGAGGTCAGGACAACCTGGAAGCTTCAGTTTCAACTACAAAAAAAAAAAAAAAAAAAAAAAAAAAAACAGAGCCAGAGATGGAGCCCCTACTTTCTTTGCTTTGGCAGAAACATTAACTTATGGAAATAGGCTGAGTCATGAGGTGTTGAAAGGTTGCCTCAAATGTCTTTGGGTGCTTGGCATCTATTTCATTATTGTACATCAACATGTTAGAGGTGACCATACCCGAAAGGGGAAGAACTCAAACGGTCTTTTATTAACTATGAAGGAAAATACAGTAAGAGAAAGATCACAATGGAAACCATCCAACGGTTGCAGGAAGATATTCCAAGAATTTTCAGGAACTTTAGAAGGACACTTTTTACTGACAATGTTAATTTTTAAATTTTTGGGAACAAGCAGATGGTGTAGAGGTTACATCACTGGACTCTCACATGACTGACTACAGTTCAAGTCCCAGACCCAGGAGATTAAAAATCACGCCGAGTACATGTGCATACATCCCCAAAATGCAGAGGAGAAAGAACAGATGAGAAAGGATTGTGGTGTGGCTATCTCCCCTCAGGGAGTGATTTCTCACTTTCCCTCACACTGTCTCTGTCTCTCTCTCTCTCTAGTGAGTGCAAGCACCCTAAAGCAAAAGCCTATAAAAATTCTTTGTATTAGCTTTGCGCAGTGGCAGTATCATAGCCAATGAGGTTTATCTGAGGCGCGATTATTGCTAGTTGAAAATTATTTGTATTAAGACAATTCCTCTAATTTTCTCTACCAGATAAAATTTCATTAGACTACTTTTCAATAACTAGATATAAGAGAGCAAAAACAGAAACAAAAGCCAAAAAAAAGATACTAAAAATGACTTATAAATAAGTTTTGCTTCTCCAGAATAAGTACACATAATGATTAAAAAGAAAGGCTTTATATATCCTAACACAATTTTATACCACTGAAAGTCAATGAGAATATTTCTCTCTTCTGAGTGTAGATTGTTGTTGATTTTTTAAATATAAAACTGGATATTCTCCAAAACAAATGCCAACTTTTTTATTATATTTTAAAAGAGTAATTTCCATGTAAGTAAATGTTCATGTTAAATGTTATTAAGTGCAGGAACAGCATAAATGCTAAAAATAGCTCAAATTGTGTAGCTACATTTTGTCAACAATCTTGCTTGCTCCAGCCAAGTTCCCCATAAATTGCACAATTTATATTTTGGGAAAGACAGAACTTGTTTCCAAACAAAATTTCAAGCCTGGGTACATTTCCTTCCTGTCCTCAGTTTCAGTTAAATTAATTTATCTTTTTAGAAGGGAAAGATGCAGAAAAGAAGACTTCTAGATTTTATTTAATATGCGTATTTCATCAAGGTCTTTAATTATGAAGTTGTAATGGATAATTTTTGTTACAATTATCACTGGACAGATTTCAGTTTTTTAGAGCATTACTTTAATCTCTTGCTTTAACGCACTTTGTACAGACAAATAGCAAACAGCAAATGCCAACTTGATGAAAAGATACTTAATCTTAAAAGGGCATAATAGTAAAGCCAAAAATTATTCCCAATACACTTCAGACAATATTGCATAAGCTCATTACCTCTTCTACAGTAAGAGAACATGAGTAACTCATTTAGGACACCAAGTAAACTTTCCTCTGAGTTGGTGAATATTTCTTTATGGACTTTTCTAGTATATTTTCAAAAAAACATCAACTTTTATATTCAAAGCACAGTATATAGATACAGGAGGATATGAACAAATGTAAGATACAGTTACTAATCACAACCTGATTTTTTTTTATTTCACTGGGAAAAAATAATCTTCCCATGGGTACATTTTAATAAAGAAAGTACTAAGTGTCTTCATTAATAAATCACCTTGAATCCAAAGGAATTTCAACACTGGTCATGTGAAGAAATAAAGACATGGCAAATTGAGTGGCAGGGAGAGAACAGTGATAAAAGAAATAGATCCACAATAGATCTCAGCATTTTACTGGTCCTTAAAAGGAATCTTGGACTCAGTTGCAACAGCATAGCCTTTGTGCAATACTTTATATGCCGAAAGCCATAAAGTAGATCAGGGTTTGGTTCCCAGGTCCACCCGTGTGCCTGTGATCTGGCCTATCTGAGAAAGCTAGGGGGATGACTGTGCCATGAGACCTTGTTGAGAGTCCTAGTCTCTTTCATTCTCTCACCAAATAAATAAACTTTTATTTTTAAAAAAGGAATAATTGAATGATATGTGCTACACAATGATTTCTATTAAAAAATGCACTACAATTTACATAAATTCTTATTTAATCCTCACAACCCTTTGACGGATATGTTTATTCTCTTTTCATAGACACATAAAGGAGGTCTGTAATTTTCTTGAGGTCACATAGCTTACTGAGTGACAAAGTTGAGAATTAAATGAAGAAATTATATAAAATATAAAGTTTTTAAATGCATTTTGTTTAAATTTGATTACTTATGAATCATAAAGACACTATTGCATAGAAAACAATTTCACATGTGTGTATATCAATATCATAGATACAGATATTTCCTCCAGATGGTAAGACTTTGAATGACTTTTCTTCTTCTTCTTCTTCCTTATGTATTTATACATCATTTTTAACACAAGATATAATTTAGCATTATAATAATTATGCTTTGCTCATGTAATAAAATAAAATGTTATTAAAAATAAAACTAAATGGTAACAATTAATTCAGGTTGACTTATTTAATGATTAAATGAATATAGTGAGTCCTATTCTCCTGCTATTAAAAATAAAAGCAGTTAACGGTTCTGAAGCATTTGGGAAAGACTATTATGCCAAGTCCTCTATCTGCACTATCTTATTTAATACACACAACTGTCTTCTCATGTAAATGTTATTATTTATTTGTCTCCTTGCAAATAATGAAAAAGAGGCATTGGGAGTATATCTAATTTGCTCTAGGTCACATAAGAGCCAGTCACAAAACCATAGCCTGAAGCCAGTCTTCAGAGTTTAAACCCCTAACCACCATCTCTCCTGAGACAACAGTTACGGCAGGGAACAGAAGACACTTCCTACATGGAAGCTCTGTGGACTTACACACAAGTGGATATTTCCTCCTTACTCAGGGATAAGTCTTAGTTCTGTCTAGCTAGAACTCTCAACTCATCTTGTAAGTACAAATATATAAGGCTATGCTAGAGCCTCAGAGCTCTCTTTGTGTAAGAAGAGGGTTCTTAGTAGCTTTCAGTTTCTCATGTGCATAAAATACATAAATAATTAGAGTACTAGGTCATCAGGAAAATCATGATGTTAGTTTTCTAAGTAATAATGTGTCATGACTTTCCCAATAACCCGGTATTTGTCAGTATGTTATAAGTTTTACCTAACGTTTATTAAATAAAACACAGAACCCAAGGCTATAAAAAATATTTCCACCATTTAAATTGTTCTAAATTCTAAATTTTTCAAGTGTACATGGAAACTAAATTTAATGTATGATTAGGCTAAGTTCTTATACTTGAAGCGACCATTTAAATTACCTACATGCTCGATAAGAGGGCGCAACATCCTAATCAACCAAAAAGAATACTTTAAACAAAGCAAATTTCTCCCCAGAAAAATTATCTCAGAAGAGATCATTATAGATGTTTAGATAAATGTTTACTATGGATTTCTTTCTTTTTCTCTTCTCACTATGTTGTGATTCTCTACTACACCCTCTCAGTTGGGACTATGGCACACAACACCATATCCAGTTTGTTTTTCTTTTTTCCTTTTTTCTTTTCTTTTCTTTTTTTTTTTTTTTTTTTGAGAGGTTTTCACTATAGGGCGCGTGCGCTCACCAGACAGATAGAGACATAGAGACAGAAAGTGAGAAATCCCCCCCCAGGGGGGATGGTCATGCCGCAATCCCTTCTCCTCCATTCTCCTCTCGGGATCTTGGGCACGCACACACACGCGCCCGGCGTGAGTTTTAAGCCACCGGGTCTGGGACGTGAACCGCGGTCGACTACGTGGGAGAGTCCAGCAACATAGCCATTACGCTAACTGCTGGTTCCCTCTTTTTTCTTTTCTTTATGAAAGAATCTCACTATGTTACCCAGGCCAACCTGGAGTTTGCAATCCTCCTGCCTCAGCCTCTGGGGTGGCTGGATTACAGGTACATGCCACTATTCTTGGCCTTTAGGTTGAGCCAAGAATCAACCCTGGGCCCCCCACATGGGCTCAGCCTGTGAAGCACAGTGTCTTAGCAGTGCATATTGCTGCCACTGGAACCTACATGGATTTTTAATATATTATTATGATGTTAGTTAATTCTGCAATCTAAGAAATGACTAGTGAGAACTGTTCATCTATTTTTTTTATAAAATATGTATAAAAGTTTGAGCTTTTTTTTTCCCCCAATTGATAGCAAGCCAACAGATTCTTAGATTCTGCAGATAATATTCTTCCAGAATGTTACTGGAAAGGTTTCTTAAGTCACAGGGATAATGGGATATATAGTTATAAAATGAACACCAATATGTTTTGTTTGTTTTGCTTGAAAAACATTTAAATAAATAAATATATTTGAAGCTAATTTTGTTGGATGTTGGCAAAAATCCCTGTAGTATTCACCATCTAGTTTTTAAAACTGGATGGATGAGTTTGAGACAGTTCTTTCAAAGTGAGCATTTTGTATATAATGTAATACATCTCCTCTAACGAGTCATTTAAAATATTTCAAAGCTTGCTTATTAAGAGAGACTCCCCTTTTCTTTTACATGACCTTAATTTCATTAAGCTCTTCATGTCAGCTTTTTATCCCCCTGTGGAATACTTAGGCTGCTTTCCATCCCAATACACAGAGAAGATTGCTAATTTCATCTGTGCTTCTTTAGTATTGGATAGCACTATGACACATTTCCAGCCCTAACCATACACACACATTAAAAATAATTATATACTGCCTATCACCCCCATAATAGTACTGTCGGGTAGTCCCATCAAATTGTAAGTATGCCTCCCCATGCCCCAGAATCTCTCAAGTTCTTTGCATCCCACTGGAAAGATCAGAAAAGTCAGGTGATATTTTCCCCTTTGTCCTCTCACCACTCTCAATCATTTCTCCTATTTAGCTGAGTTCTTAACTCCATTTGCTTCTTTAGGAAAAAGGCAAAACGGCTTTCACCGGCACAAAATAATGTTCTTTCTTGCTCTTTCTTCTCCAGGCAGATGAATCAATAAAATATGAAACCAAAGTGCTCCACCTTCTGGTCACAGGTGAACGTTAATCAGCAGATACTTCCTATGGTAGAAGGAAGCATTTTATCTCCCGAACAAGGTCCTGCAGACAACTATTGATGAGTCCTCCAATATCATCAAGAATAAAGACTATCCTTCTAATCTCTCAAGTTTACAAGCTTGAAATAATTTTCTTCCAATCCTCCTATTCTTTTGTTCACACCTACCAGTTCAAGGCTGTGAACAGTGCAGACTGGCTTGTCATCAAAACCAAGTCCCCTCTCTGTCCCTCTGCATCAGGTAACAATTATTTAACTTTTCACATCCTCAACCCCCTCATCTGTAACACAAACATAATAGTGACTCCTACCCTCTCCATTATTGTGAGGGCTAAATTAGGTATGGTTTGTAAAATACTTGATCCCACATCATGCACATAGAAAACACCCAGTAAGTGTGAGCCGTGAATCATTGCTGTGACAATTTTTTAAATCACCTTCAAGTCAATACAAATTTTTCATTTCTGACCATGGCCAAAGATGCAAAGCACAGTAGTAGATTTTTTTTTTTAAATGCAACCTCTGCCCT